ATAACGGGGGCCTACGTTGTTGAGTGTCTGTAATGTGGGCCTATGTTGCTATGGTGTCTGTAATGGAGAGGGGGTGGAGAGCCGCAAAAACTTGAACTTAAAACGTACACTCACTATTTTCTTCGAAACTGTATGTGAGTTCCACAAAAGAATATCGTTTTTTCTAAGCGTAACCGTAAAAACTGTCGAAACAATAAGAATTATTAAAAGAAAGCTTTGTTAAAATTTTTCACAAAAAATATACAATGAAAATATTCACTCAAGATCAGTAAAATAAGCATGATAATGAACTAAAATAATGCATTTCGAAATGTCTTCTTTTGCCCTTCAAATGTTACTTTTAATATTAATCAAAAGTTTTGAAACGCTCTGTAGAAGATAGAAATATTTTCACTGTTTTTTCATTAGACTGCATCTGTAATATGGAATCTCGATAAGACTTATTGAGATATGATATTAGACTCAAATAATGAGTTTTCATCAAAACATTTTTGTAATGGACGTTTGTGAAAAAAAATTGGCATTTTTCTGAGTCCCATCTTCCAAGAGTTTTGTTTCGTTATTAGTGGTATTCTATCTTGTAGAATTTAATAGTGAGCTACATCAAAATTCATCGACGGATTTCAAACTAAGTTGCATGCCACTAGAACTTTAAAGAAAATTGAAAACATGATAACTCGTGAGTGAATACATATTTTTATATGAAATTTGAAATCTGTCGACGAATTTTAATGTAGCTTACTATTATAGTCTAGAAAATAGAACACCGATAATAGTGAAAGAAAAATTTTGGGGCTAAGGAAAATGCGAAGTTTTTTTTCGCAAACTTCCATCACAAAAGTTCATTGATGAAAAATCATCATTTGAGTCTAATAAAATATCTCAATAAGTTTTATCCAGATCCCATGGTCCAAAGATGAAATTTCGCATGCTACTTTTTTCGTGTTTATTTTTTGCTAAATTGCTCCAGAAGAAGTTAAATGAGCAAAAATTCTGACATATAGAATCGGTAAAATTTCTTTTTACTAATTGCTCTTACATTGATGAAATAAATAAATAATAGATCATCAATTCTATTTGATTATAAACATGTCTCACTGTTATTCATAACAATGAAAATAGATAACTTGAGTACGAATATGTGCTGGGTAATTTTTTTTTACTCTGTTTGTAGTCTAAATGAGAAACATTGTCTAACTTTGGTTCTATATACTCTTTTGAAATATTTTTAGCACTATTCTGTCGTAACAATCTGAACAGGTTCAGATAATTCTATAAATCTTTGTTTAGACAACTTTTAGAATTCGCACATTGTGAGATTCTCTATAATCAATTATCTTTTTGAATTGATTACTTAATTGCTTAACAGATAAAATGTACTTTAATCATTAGAATTTTATATTTCGACACTTTTCTAGATAGTTTGTCTCGATATTCCAACGATTTTGAATACAAAACGATTAAATCTTAACATTTATACTTCTTTGCTATTAAAATAAAAAGATGATTGAAAAATATGTAAGAATATTTTTTTTTTCATAACTTGAATATTGACATTGTATGCTACTGATATACGTATGAAATGCTGCAAAGAAAAGTTCGTCATAGAAAAAGAAATAGAGATTATTTTTATTCTGCAGAGAAATCAACATTTGGCTGGAAAACTTAATATATGTTTTTCTTTTTTTTTTTGTTTTTTCTTCCTAACAGTAATATTTTTAAAGAATACAAGAAGAAAATTTGATTACTTGAAATCTAGGTGGTTGTTTATTTTTTGCTGGTTTTCCTAATACTCGTGATGTCCAATTATAAAAAGCACCAGCTGGATATGTACATTGATTGTTTTCTAATCTACAATCGCAAGATGATTCATTTGTTCCATTTTGTTCCAAATAAATTACATTATATGTGACATATGATGCTGAACCAGGTATAGAACGTGTATAATAATTTGTACGTAAAGCTGAAAATAATCGATTCTGTGCAATCATTAGTGATATTATTTTTGCGGTTCGTTTTTCATTAGCTAAAAGATTGTTTTGAAAATTCGAGATGAGAACACCAGCTAAATCATTAAATTGATCTCGTGAAAAAGTAAGAAGCTCAACTAAATTAGTAAAATTAAATGCTTGAAGATTATCATTAGTTGTTTGACGTGCTACTTGACATAGTAGACTAAGAGAACGATAATGAGAAAAAGCAAATGTACGAAAATCTAAAATATTATGCGACGTTGCATTCGAAAGATATAAAGAAGAAATCCATTCATTTTCAATAAATGGACTTGAACAAATTTGATGAAATTTAACAGATAAATTCATAAATTTATTAAACGGTATTGATGTTTTAGTACAAGTAGCTCTAAATGTTGTTCGATAACGTGCTTCAAGTCGTTCGAAATCAGATATAGAAAATTTATTTAAAGTTACTTCATGTGTACGAATCGATAGACTAGCATAACCAATAACGACTAAAACAGATATTGAAGTTAATATTAAAAAAAGTCGAGTACTCGATATTTGCTCAGCAGTAGTTAATGTTGATGACCAAAATGGATTATCAGAATACAAATTTAATTCTCGAATATTACGAATTAAATGTGAACGTGCAGCTGTTACAATCATTTTCGAAGATGAACATTTTTCAACTTCATTTGGTATATTACTTGTCATGATTATAACACCATATGATGGTCAAATTTTTTATTGTTACGTCTACAATTAACAAGAATCAAATCATCAAAGTGATAACTTGATTAATTTCTTAATTAAATTAATGAAATTCTATATATGTATATGAATTGTTACAAAAATTCAACAACAATCGAAAAACTAATAAATAACAGTTGCATATAAAGCTTTATAATTTATTCTTCATTTGAAATAATCTGATTTTAATGAAAATATTGAAAACTAAAGTACTACTTTTCTTTTCAATGATGAGTGTGAAAATCTGGACATATTAGAACTGTCAATACACTGTTTTTATTCTATTTTTAATACCCTTTCTAATACTATGTAACGAAGGAAACCTTTGTGTTTAGGAATAGGTAGAATGTGGAATTTTCTAATAATTCATGTATTTTTGTTCTCGTTTTAGCACAAATCTCTCGGTTGAGATATGTGAAATAGATATGAAATAAAATTGAAACACACAACAATGCAAAAAAAAAGAGTTGATTAAATTTTTATCATTAACTATTGTCCAATATTCATATTCACTAATCTCTCCAGAAATTATACATCTATTTGATCAAATTGCATTCATATTAAAAAAAAAAGATTTCCTTACTTATTACTATAATTTAATAGGAATATTAGGTAATTTTCATCCGTTAATTGAAATGGTTTGTGGAAAATATTGCTTATAAATGAATTTAGCTTATGCATCAACAATAAATAAAAAAATGTCATCATATCTCTAGCG